ATCTAACTCAATATGGTGAAAATAACTCCGACTCCTCTTCAACTTATTCGGATCAAAACGGATCTAAAAGATCTTTATTCGCATATAAAAATGACTGTGATAATCCTAGTAATGAATGGTAATGGTGAGGAAAAAGTTGGCTTCAATAGAAGACCACCCTCAAAGTTTTGAGTTGCCAGACGAAATAAAAGACCATCTGGTCTTTTATTCGGACCATGGAAGGTACGTCATTGGACGTACTGAATCTCGCGACAGTGTTTAGTTTTGGAAAAGAATGCGAAAACCTGGTGAAATCGAGATTACAAAGATTAGGCTTTCGACGCTGTTTCCATATAATGTGAAAAAATTCATAAATCACTCAAAAACACAAGAATAAGTTGAAAATTTTGTGATATGATTAATGTTGCTTGCAAAACGTTATTATGAAATTGAAAAAGTTAAAAACTATTTTTTGTTCCAGGGTTGTCTATAAATCCTTTCGAAATACCACAGAGCTTTTCATATTTGATAAGCTGGAATACGGAATAGCTAGAACACTTGAAAACGTAGAAAATGCCCACGTATGGCAGTCTTTAAACTCGTTACGAGATGAAAAATACCAATGTCTTCTTTTAGGCCGGGAAGCTGTTTTGAACTCGTTACGAGTCCAAATGAGTGTTATATTGTAACATAGTATAGAGGAAGCTGGGAAGGCGACAAAACAAAACCGGGGCGACAAATTTCATCATCAGTCAACCAGTATTATCAAAACTTCAGCATGCATCTATTAGAAGGAATTCTCATCAATTAGCCAACAACATAAATATACATTTATTTACAAAATTTATTTATTGGGGAATGTACTTATTCGTTATTCGGGAATTCGCTGATTCGTGATTTTCGACAGATACTGCGACTCTTACATATATCCTTCCTACGATGAACAAGCACTTATGAAAGCAATTTACGTAAAGTCAAAAATATTACCAAATAATATTTCCTTTTTATCACATTGAATGTCACGATGGTAAGATATAAGTTTTTATTCTAAATGCGTCAGAAATATTAAAACATATATAATAGATCAAACCGTTTCTGATAATTTTTGGTATGATCCTATTTCATATGGAGTATCAAATGAGTAAGTGGGAACTTTCTACATAAAACTGAGTAAAATCATGTTTTCTTATTTGTTTTCATGTGCTTGATGTTTTATAAGCTCCCATTGTAGGAGACGCTGCTGCTTTAGACCGATTATTTTGTGAATCGGTTGTTAAAGTATTATCGGTTCTTCGAGCTAGAGGTGCTTTACGACGCTGAGAATCGGTTCGACTTATCAGTTGATCGAGAAGATTCACGCGGTTGCGTTAGTTGAGATAACATTCGCTGCTGCTATCCGAGTTGCGATAAAACTTGATGTGGTGCAAGGCGTAGAAGAGTTGTCTTTACCGCTGTGGTCACTGCAGCTTTTGTTAACGCGTCGTCCAGTACATTTGGAGATGTATTAGCATGAGGCGAATTGCTGGACGGAGACGATATTGATACAAGATTTTTGCTATATCTATCAATAAATCAATGTTTTCGAACTTTAGAAAGTCAAATAGAAAATGCATATTAACTACATAACATACATAAATAAAATTTGTATGATAGGCAATAATTGCTGAATAAACTTTCAATTTTCATCATCGTAATGAGTGTCGGTTTTTTCTGCTGTCTTTCTCTTGTACCGCAGTTATAAGTGCAACTGAATATGCTAGTCAATACTTCCATATGCCAAAACTTAGTCAATATAGATATAAGAAAGTAAATAAAAAGTACACATTTTCTTTATGAATGGGCAAAAATTTTAGTACGCATAATAAAGTAACAGCAATAAAATGGAAACTACTGCTGTTACTTTATTATGCGTACTAAATAAAAAGTCTTTTTGGAACTTCTTTTCTACTTTAATATATTGTAAATTAGCGTTACAAAATTATATGTAAAGGTACTTAATTTGCTCATCTCAAAAATCAAAATATCTCAGAAATTATGTACGATGTATACTATAATGTTTCCAGGCGACGATTGAACATGTATACATCTCTCTATCATGTCCATATAGTTATGTCTTTCCTGCTAGCTGCATCTGGATGACAATGCTTTTTGAGTGTGTCAACTAACGGTTAAGTATCCCTGACATTTGATGCTTTTCAATGTGATGTTTCTTCCGATCAACAAAATTGAATCGATTTTGTGCTTCTCCTTAGGGACGAGTGAAGGTAAGGAGAGTGAGAGTGAATGAAAGAGCAATATTCCTCAGGAATATTGTTCCTGTTGTTGTCCTGTTGTTGTCCGACGCGGCGCGTCGTTGATATTGCAATTTAGTGAGTTTTATTTAGCATTTGATGTAATGGTGTTTCATTCATACTGAATAGAGAACGGAACAGTTGAAAAAGCTAAAAATCTATGAGATAAAAATTTGTTCAAGAAGAAGTTATATAATTACAAGAAAATATCTGTTATACAAAGTGATTCTGAACAACTGGAATTGTAGTTGAAGCGAATGAGCTTGAAGAAGCTCAAAATTGCGGCAGAATGTGTACGAAGTAGCCATGTACAAGGGATGGCTCAACTGTCAGTCGCGTAAACATCCGTTAATCTTTTACGTGGTATAGTAATATTTTTTCGCCTGAATCATACATCGATTTTCCGCGATGATTTACATCTCTGCTTTCCCAAAATCAGATCAAATAATCACGATTTTATGTGAAACGTGCCTTGTTTTTCTTGAAGTTTATCGATGCATCGCATACTAACAAAATGGTTAAAACGATCTCTACTGCCATCTACTACTACCATTTGCTCTATTTAGAGGTACGGATCTTTGAAATGATTTATTCATTATTTCCCCGAATTATCAAATGCCGACCGAACAGCTGATGAATAATTGAGGTCTTTTCAAAATCGTACAACTAAAGAGAATACAAGCAAAATTCTCTGCTCCTTCTCATACCAACAAATTAGAGTTCACTCTTTTATCGAACGCTGCTTCAAACGCCCTTCACCATCATGACTTTGACAGATTCTCACCACCATTAGTAATGATTCTTAATTAATTTTTTGATTATTCATATTGTATAAATGATATTCATATGTTGGTAATGATTATTCTAAGTATGTAGAACATTCCGTTTTGGAGCTTAAAGATCTTTCTTTCAAACTGTAACTAAGCAAAGTCTAGCAGCTGGCTAGTTTAAGTGACATAATGTTTTGATATACGTCATTTTTATGCAAAAGAGCCTTGCTGGCGCGAATTATAGACAAGTGTTTAGGTTAGAGCTCGACTTTGGGTAGTTACTATTCGAAAGAAAAATCTTTAAGCTACAAAATAAGATGTTCCCCAACTCTGTGCGTTGCTAGAGAGCTATGAATTTCACAAAACACTCCGAACTTACGTTTTTGGCTGGTACGCTTGGACAGGTCGTAGAGACCTTAGCTGTAGCGATTTATTTATTTTCCATTAATTTCTGAGCATAGGTACATGAAGGAGAACGTAGCCAGGGCCGCAAATAACGGGAAAGTATGGGAGGGCGCACAGCCTCCGAATAAGTGAAAAGATGTTGTTATTTTATCCATTATTCCTCGCACAAAATTTTTTTTATCAATTTCACACTACCTCAAAGAGAGAAATTTTGTTTTACACCCCCCCTAATGTTCTGCTTCTGTTTGCGGCCCTGAGCGTAGCTTGACCTTCAATGCAAGATAGTGGTAAAAAGTGTATTCATATGTTTCGTCAGTTTGTTCTAAGCTCTTATTTTATAAAGTGGCACTTTTATATTTTCATATGTTTTCCAAAAACTAATTTGCTGAGTGAGAAACAAAAATTCCAGAATGTAGGACGGATTACTCCCACATACTCTTGAATAACGAACATGACGATCAAAATTCTCTGCGCCTCAAAGCTATGTGCTTCATTCTCTTTAATCATGAACTAAATTTGTTATTATTAAGCAAAAAGATAATCATAATCTTTATTCATACCATAGAATCTTATTAACTGAATGATGACTGCTTTATAAGACTTTCAGGGATCTTCATTTCTTCAGTGTAATATCGCACAAAATACATATTCTTATTCGATTTCCGGCTGAAATCCGAGTAGTTTCGTATCAATAGGATGCCAGTCAAGTTCTCTTCTCATAGATCACCTCTCGAACGACTAAAAGGTGTTTTTGTCATATTTCTTCCACTTATGTCACTAAGTAAATATATGGAATTCTCTCTAGTTATCGAAATGACGATTATTTGTGATATCTTTATAACAGACAGAGCCCTGCAATACTTTAATATATATTGCATCATAGACAGTTCAGGTTACTGGTGTAATACTTTTTTCCCAGAACAAAAAACATATATATTTCTGTAATATATTTACTTCAATTTACTTCAAACTCGTATATATAGAATTTTAAAATTCAGTCACTTTGGATTGAACGCTTCATGATTTCCTATAATAGTAAAGACTATAGTTTTTTGCATCCATTTTCTATTTTAGACAGAAGCAGTAGTTATATTTTCGTAATTTTTAAATGATACTGTATCGAATTAGACACCATTATATTTTAACGACGGTTTTTGAGGCTTGTATATAATCCCAAACTCATTTAAAACTTCTTCCATCACAACCCGGATAAATAAGATGCAATATTTATGAAAATTTTGAATTTTATATATTTTCATGCGAGAAACAACTTGCATAACTTCTAACCAAATTACGGAAGAAGAAGTTTACATAGTTGTATGACCATATGTATAGATCTCTAAGAAATCTTCTAAAATTTCTCCTTGATGTTTGAAATTAATAATAAAAAAAATTTTCTACTATTCAAGGCAACTTTTAGGCTAAAAATGAAATGGACTTATTATTAGTCGCTTGCTACAGAGTCCGATTTCAAAGTACTTTATCTTTTTGACAGACTCATTCAATACTCTTCTTATGTATTAGATACTATTGTTTTAAAGTGCTAATTCTCAATATGGAATTAATCTCAGATGAAGAATCCATTTCACAACATCATGCAGTTTTAGAAGAAGCTAAACCGGGGGACATGATTCAATATAAAAGAAAATATTATTCTCATTGGGCAATTTATATTGGTAAATAGTTTCATTTTTTAACTTTGAACTTTAAACACGTTTATGATTAGTGAAAGTTGCAAGGGAGCGCATGTTGAGCAAAACTCTATATAGACTTTATTTTTGATCGCTTTAGGAAATGGCAAAGTTATTCATCGCTGGGGTGAAGGCGATGGCATTGAGAATACTCAAGGCTTAAAAACATTTTTCACATTTTCTGGTAAACAGTTTAATAAAGCTACCATCTTAGAAACAAATTTTGTCGATGTGTTGATCGGTGGTATAGCAGTGGTGAATAATTATCTCGACGACAAGATAAAGTATAGTTTTTATTATCTGTTAATATTTTATATTTTATTTGACATTATGTATTTTCTACTTTTATCTAAACAGACCACTATCTTCTGAAACTATAGTTGAACGTGCAAAAGCTGCTCTTACACAAGAAGGCTACAATGTTATATACAATAATTGTAAGTATTCAATAACATATGTAATATTCATTTTTACTAGATTAATTTCTTATATTTATTTTAGGCGAACATTTTGCTACAGAGTAAGGCATCGGGATCAAAGCCTCTTCGATATATCAAATTCCGTTTTATTGTATTTTTAGCTGTCGATATGGACAAGCGATTAGCCAACAAGTAAGTATTAGTGAGAAAATACCATCAACTCGCTAGTAATTGACAAACAGTTAAAGGACCTAAGACAGAAACAGAACTTGATCTACACAACTTTTAACCTTCAACTCTTTTCAATTAACGTACTGACTATTTCCGGTACATTAATAGTTTTTGTTTTATTTGTTTAAGGTAAAAAATGCTGTGGTAGCAACCTCAGCTTCATCCATCGTTGTAGCTGGTGTCATGTTTGCACTTGGTGCATTTTTACGTTACTATCGAACGAGAGAAGATGACGAAAAAGACGAAAAAGACGAAAAACAAATTTCTCTTAAAGCTATAAAACCATAGCAACAGTAATAAGTATGATTTTTTGCTCTATATATTGTTAATTGTGTCTACACAAAAAGATTTCATAGCTTTTTTTCTCATAGTTTAAATCTAACTACCATTACTGTTCAGTTTTTTTTCTAAACCATTGTTCAGATAGAGGCATCACTCATTTTTTTCATAAATATGTTGCCGGTCTGTCTGGTTAATGATTAGTTTTTTGGCAAGAACATAGCGCTTTGGAGAAAACTAATGCAGATCTTGGAAATCTCTCATTTTCGAGAGCAAAAACTTTTCTTTTAAGCGACAGGATACGTCGACAGTTTATCCCATGCTCTTTTTTAAGTTTCAAACTTAAATACTTTATTCGTATAATTCAATCTCTGTTTCAATGATCTTTTATCTGTGAATCTATTAACTATCAGAATTTGCTTAATGATCAACTTAACGAAAAATGTTTGCTGTTTAAAAATGAAATATCTTCAAAAAAGCCGTGTACGTCGACACAGTATAGCACAATCAATGTGAAAAAAAACGTAGTGTACTTACGGGATTCCTCGCACAAGTCATTGGATTTCTGTTAGATTAAATTTGCTATGTTTCTTTTATTTTTATACTATATATGTAAATACGATAAGACAAATTTTTGTTAAACTTATTTTCATACTTTTTCCTGTTTCATGAATATTTTTGAATAATATAACTTGCAGTTTTTGTTATTTATAATACATATATTTTTAATTTTATACTCATCCTAAAAACGATAATATTGTGTTTTTATGATCCGTTAAAGATTGATAAGCTGTAGTTAACAATTTCTTTTTGTTATTATACTATGATGGATTTATTTATGCGAAATAAAGAAATAGGATAACAAAAAACTTTAAACTAAAAATAATTTTTCATAGATAAGTAGAAAGGAGAAATATTATTGTCTATATCTCAATTTTTATCTATTCTAAATGTAATAAATAAGGATTGAATTAAATGCTTCCAACTGTATTGGTATAATGTCCACTAATACTATCTATTACCGAAAAACCCTGAACAAATCTATCAATTTTTCTGACATACTCAATCAATGGTTGATATCGATGAATTATATTATTCAATTCATTATATTCCATTATATTTAAATTTAAAATCGAATATATACAACCGTAGAGATGTGCATCAGCTCGAGTGAAACTAAAACGTCAAAACAAATAAATAATTTCTTCTAGTAAATTCGTTTTCTTATGAACATACTCTTGACTAAGTAAATATCCTTGATTGTTTTGAATTTTTTCCGACAAGGCTTTTATAGTTGTTTCAAATTTAGCTAGAGCCTATTATAATGAATAGTTAAAATAAAATAAGAAATAAATAAAAATTTCGTTTTACATACTTGTTCATATGTTAATGACCAAATATCTTTTACTTTCAATACTTGAATAAGTCGGTAGCGATAAAGATGGTAAAGTAGTAATCCGAGTGGCACTGGATAAACGTTTGTAAATGATTGTTTTAACGTCTATGAAAAATAAGACTAATAATAATTATTTATAGAGATATGTGAGATGCATACACGTGCATGTACGTACTAAACCAGTTTTAGTCGATATCAAAAAATAATTCTAAAAAGAGAGTGAAGATATCAGTAATTGATGTTGTATATAATAAACAAATAAACAAACCATTAGACCACGAATAACTTCTGTACACAATATCGAGTAACTCGTAGACCATGTACGTACATCAGTATTTCTGCCATTTTCACTTAATAAACCCTAAAATAGAAAGAGTTTTAAAAGTCTTCTGTAAATAATGAGTTACTTCTAACTGATCTTCTTAGCTCTCGATAGCTACATTTATAGACGATTTACCTTTAACTCTAATAAATCGGCAATTTCATCAAATTCACTAAAAATACGATTGTTTAAACTTAAAACTGGTGGAATTCCTAGAAGTACGATCATTCGAAGTTTTTACGAAAATATTTTTTTTAAAAAGCGTTGATAACTGACCACTGTTTGACATTTCAGCTGCATTTCGTACATGTTCGAGACGCAGTGACGGTACAAGTGCTTTTCGTAATAAACACAATGTTGCTAAACATTCAGATGACCAAACGACTAATTGATCTTTCAATGGTAAATATAATGTTGCAGTTTCTGGCCCTAGAATATCAGATATAAATGTGATTTTCCCTATGCAAAGGGTGGATAGAAAAATATCGTTATGAGCGACATCTTAGGTATTTTTTATGTTTATAAAGATAAATTAATAAATTCATGAGACTTACATGGCTCGCGAGCTAAAGAATAAACAAAATACAACTAGATGATCAGTATGAGTGCGTGGTGAAAAACTGGTTACCTGCAATTTCTAAATTGATATTTTTAGTTTTAGCATCAATCAAAGTGCTATCTGGGATTACGCCACCGTCTCCTTCTGACATGCTGTTCTGTGTAGATTAGATACAAGTGTATAAAATCAAATCTACATAATATAAAATAAGATTCTTGGTATCGGCAATTACTGCAATAAATTCTGAGAAGTTCGAACACACAATTCGTGGTAAACAAAAGATAAATTGGCATGCAACGGACCAAAAAACGTTAGATTACCAAGAAAACACTACAATTATTTCGAACATTTTTTTTGTTTTCAAAAATTTTTGAATAGACGCAAGAAACTTGACTGATTGTGCCAAGAACTCGAACCCTTAATTCACGTGTGAGTTTCTGATTTCTACATTATAATTCAAAATGGTTTCCGTAGTTCAGGCTTTATTCCAATTTTCAAGCAGTAGCAAATAAGAAAAAGACTGGAGAAAACGCTTTATTAAATTTTCTTTTTATTAAATTAGTACAAAAAATAACGAAAAAAGAAAGACAATAAACAGGGTTTGGACAGCACTTATGATATGGTAAACAGCCTTTGAACATGCACATGAGAAAAGAAGAGTTCAAACGAAGAAACGAAGAAAAAAGAAAAAGAGGAATCAACGTAAAAGCAGTATCTGATAGTTCAACTTGATGATGATTCATACTATGTACCTGAAGCTTAAAAATTTCTTTGTTTAAAATACTTTGGTAAAGTTTGAGTGAAATAATCATGTTGTTCATCGCAATTATATACTTCCTTTATAGTTATATACTCCTATTTATTGCTGCTTCCCGGGCTTCCCTCATTTAGATTTTTGGACCGAGACCAATTTGTCATATAATGCTCGATTTGTAGCATAAAATCCACGCGAGGGAGAAAGTGGAACATGTCGACGCTGACATATTGGACATAAACCAGTATAACCGCTCAATGGCTTGGCAGCCTCGAGTGCATATAACTCCTCATTCTCACATGTTACTCTACCTCGTACCTGATATGGAACATCGGGTAGCCAGGTGTCATCTGGAATATCGACAGTACGTTGTGTATGATTAAAAGTGATGCCCTGTGGTGCTCTTGCGTCCGGCGGTTTTGGGTTTAATTGAACCAATGGCTGACGATCATCATTCGACACATTTCTAGAAAGTGGCGGTTGACCGCCACCTACTGGTGGAGTAGTCAGGTTGGAACCTAAAGATGCATAGTTACAGCTTACCATTAGGTTCCAAAATTAAGTGCTGGAGAAGTTTCCAGAAGAAGAAAAAGGAAATTTTAACTTACTCCTGTTTTTCGGTTTATCAGGGTGTTCACTACTCATAGCTGTTCCAAAACAGTTGTCATCACACACTCTGGAAATGGATTGCTGAGCCAGTGGATCTAAAGACACAGAGTTACAGCTTAAACACTGTTGAATGAATAACGCTAACAAAATCTTAGTTTTTCATACCCGTTTTTTCATTCTTGCTACTTGTGTAGTCGAATTCTTTTTCACACTTAATTAAATTGTTAAACGTATTACTTTTATTCCAACATGGTTTTACAATAATACCACATTTTAGAGACTTTATATCTTCTAATAAAGGTTGTAACTGTAGCCGAATATGCTCTGTTTCAATTTCATTCGTTGAGTTATTTGTTTGCACTCTTTTAATCATTTGTCTTATTTGTTCAATGCGTTCTATTCTGGTTTTCTTAAAATGTTTTAATTCTACATCAATTTCATGCGATAGTGTATCAGTCATAGAAACCATTGTTAAATACGTTCTTTCAATTTCTGATATCATATTCGTTTTCCATAATTTCAACTTTTCTAAAGCTTCTACTTTCACATTTTCAATACTGAAGGTATTAAGAGTTTCGACGATTTCATTAATTTGATGTGCATAATTATTAGTTGATTGAACAAGCAGATCCGAATGTTCTTGCAAATGTCGCACACATATGTTCTGATTACAATGATGACACAAAGCTAAAGAGGCTTGTGTACATTTGTCAATAGTACATGAACCCCGTTGTTTAATAGTTGTCATTAAACTTTAGCTCTTTTATTATTTGCGTTCTTAACAACTGTGAATCTGTAATGCATATACTAATGAAGCAATCATGTCGGCAGAGACATGACAGCCAAAGACGGTCAAATATCAAGAAATAAATACCAGGCTCACTCGGTCAATTGAAATTTTTTGTAGAGACGATTGAAAAAGTTTTTCAAAAATTATTTCGATTACACATTAAAATAAAGAATCTTCAATTACTGAAAGGAAGGAAACGCAATAGACTATTTGTGCTTTAGAGAATTTATCTCATTTTATACGTCTGTTGTGAAAGTCTTCATACATTAGAAAAAAATTAATTAACTTTTTTTACTTAAATTAACTTTTCGAGACTTTGTTGGGTACTTCTTGGCGTGAAGTCGTTTTCAGATATCGTCAATCAGTTGATCAATCTCCATGTTTACAGGTTGGTTAAAACAACAACATAGAAGCTCAGAAATGATTGAATAGTGTCATTTTTAGATAGATGAATAAGAATGAAAGAAACTGTAATCTGAAAACGATGAAATGATATTATTTTCAACAAAATAAAAACAAATTAAAGTAGTAGTTATCAATGGAAGGAGATCAAGAAAAGAGCACTAATAATCAACACCATGTTCAACTATTGCTGTCATCAGTATTGTTTTACTAAAATATATTCTTTATCAGAAAATAAACAGTTATCTCTCTTACAAATAAAAATGCACTGGTTTTATTTCGTTTGTCCTCTAAAAGTAGACAAGTTAGTATCAATTAGCTATGCTTCATGTTCGAGTACGAAAAACAATAACAATGCACTATACCAAGACAATCAACAAACGACGATAACAAGAAAACTGATTACAAAAAAAGATCAAATCACATCAGTGTTTTCGTCTATCATTTTTAAGTAGAAAAAAAACAACTGATGAATAAATAAATACAATTATCATCTTATAAATATGAGAAATAAAAGTGGAAGTTTCTGATAGTCATATGTCATCGACTGATAAAATCTCTACTTTATGAAATAGAGCAGGACGAGTACAAGTGCTTATTCATACTATGGGCTTTATAGTCGATCATCCAAAGACGTATGCTGAGGCAAAAAAGACTGATTGTTTGAAAGAATCATATAGAGGCAGTTTATCATCTAGTAATGTTCATTTATTAACACTTTTAAAATGTAATCACGTACTATCATAATATTGATGCTAAAAACCTGAGAAAAAGAAAAATAATAAAATAAAATAAATAATCACACTAAAGTATCGAGTATATGCTGTATACAGTTCATCTAAAGAATTAAAAAGTAGTAAAACAATAGAAAAAAGTCGAGTTCGAGAAAAAGTCACAGAAAAGTAATCTGTTCTAACACTTTGTCAAGAAAAAAAATTGCTTGTACTGGAAAAATCATGTACTCGTCGAACTCTGTGATGGGGCGCAGTTTCTTTTCCTTTGCACTCTGACTATACTGCACAGCAGTTCTAAATCTCAAGTAATTTAACAATCGCGTTTATCGAAATGAGCAAGAGATAAGGACTAAGTGCTGCTATTATTCTCCTGTGGATATGGCTTGGGAGTGCCTGGAGATATGACAATGACAAAAAAATGCTGGAATAAAATCGATAGAATAAAGTTGTATCATCATTAACGTTTATTATTTGTCATTTTCCTGTTTTTTTGTTTTCTCATCTTCGCCAATATCATAATGCCTTTCATCAATAGGATATTCGCTCGTATCTGCTAATGCTTTAGCAAATTTTTTCGATGCTCCATCATCTGTTTTACATGCTTTAATATAATTTTCTTCTCCAACAAAACATATTTCGTGCTCGTCAGGATCACCCAATATGACAACCGTCACTTTTGTATCTAATAATCCACCTAATTTCATTTCAGGTATGATTATAGAACCTTGTTTATTATCTTTCATCATTTCTTCAATTTTTGGAATGTCATCTGTTGGACAACTAAATGCAATTCGTCCATAGCCTGTTCCACGATGAATTGGTTTATGAATATCAACTAATTCTAATTTGCATTGATTTGTCAATTTGAAACCGGCTGCTGTTTTTTCATTTGTTGGTGTATTTGCTAATTTCTCATAACCATAATACAAAAGCACACGATCATTTGTTTTATCTACTGTTTTCATTTTCAAAAAATTTGTATAATAATTAATTGAACGATCGAGATTAGAAACATTCAGAGATAAACGAACAACAGGATCATCATCACGATCGACATCTTCATTTAACAATATAACTTTATGACCATCTGGTGAGTTAACAATATATCCTTCATTATTGTTTCCATATTTTTGTATTGAATTGGCATTAAGGATTGATTTGGCATTTGCCACAGCTTGTTTACTTTTTATTGTTAATGAATGAAAATCATTGCCCATTTCATACCCTAAAATAGGAACAGAAGACATTTTCTCGTATTTTCATGGAACATCTCCTTCTCTGAAAAACTAAACTGCTGACCGCAGAACCTCAGCATAGTACGTTTCTCTACCGTACACAAGATGAAAAGAAAACGAACGTACATCCGCTTACCTTTCACTTCATAATTGTAATTCAATTCGAAAGCAAAATTTAAATCTTCATTTCCATAACCGACCATCGTTTTCGACCACGGTGATTCAAAATCTCCATTGCATTTGGCTTTGCACCCAGAATCCATCTCCTCATGTCTAAGCATATGCATTCCAAGAACGTCACAAAAGAATTTTTTTGCTGCATCACGATCCATAATTTTAAGTGTATAATGTAATAAACGCCGCTCTTCAGACGACGACTGACTGGATAAAGACTGACTAGCCATTCTCAACGATCGTTGGTTTAAAGTACAAATAAAATTAAACAGAGACGATTTAGGTATCTAAAATAAATAAAGAGAACATAGTAATAGGAACACATTTAATTCTTTGCTGAGTTGAAGCTACTCTTGCGTTTCGTTGGCTTGTTTCTTTGATGTTCTGAGAAAAGATGTACCCTTCATTAAGATTTCTAATGACAAATTGTATGTAGAATTAATTTTTGAATACGGTGTGCGAGAAAACAACAAATTGTGTCTTGTGTGATTCTTGAATTTAGACAGTGTTTCCACTGCTAATAGTATGAAAAAAAGATGAAAAGCGAAACAGAAGATTACTGAACGAAAAATAAATAAGTGAATATAAATTAGATATGACTGGATTTGTATTTTCATCTCAAACCATTTACGAGTGTTGCACAATCAGATGCTGCAATTTTGTTTTTCTTTTACTATAGAGTTGTGATATGTTTTTTCCTTTAGAACCTGTGATTATTAGTATGTGTTATTACTATTTTAAAAAAAACATGGAGACAGATCTTCAAAACTCTTATGATTCATTGCTCTTTTTTCACAACGTAAACAGCTTCCATAGCCGGCACAAACAAAAAGAATATAATTATACAATATGGTGGATAAAAGAGAGTGTACTGATAGAGCCAGCGACAAAGATCATTAGAAACATGTGTGCGCAGTTGAGTGGGACGAAGTCAAACACTCTGGAATAAACTACCAAAAATCTCGAGAAACATTTGATTTACCTGGATTCGCGTAAACAGGTACATATCGGACAAGAAAATGAAAAGCGGCTGTCAATAAGTATTTATGATGGCTAAACGGACATTTTTATCTCGAAACGAACCAAACATAGAAGTTGTTTCTTTTCAGGAGTGGATGCCTGTACGACCAATTATTGATAGTACTACAAACGAACAAAAGGTAGCAGATTGATATTAATGGCATCATTTGACCAATAAAAATATGATAAAGACTCAAGACAGTGTGAAAAAAAGTAAGTTCATCTTCAAAGGTTGGAAGTATATCTAACCGATTCGCTATGATAGATTATCTGTACACTGTAAGTTTTATTATCCGTACACGACGTTTTTTGGTATTATCACAGTTGACTGCTATCTCGCGACATCGATCTCCGATCTACAGAAAACGTTTGCTTAATTTTTCTGCTCTCTGCATCAGCAGATATTTCAGATCATCTCTTTGAATATTTTCTCTGGCGTGGTTAAAAAGAAATTTTTTATGCTTCTCGCTTATGATTGGCTTATCCATAGAATATCTGATAGCCATTTTTCCGTATTTTGCGCACACACAGACACCTATTTTGTGATAAGGCTACGTTCACACTGCAAATTTTTCAGAGTTAACTCGAAGTTAACTTCGAGAGCGTTCACACCGAAATCTTTAACACACCAATAAGATTTGGATATTTCCCCTAAAATTGTGCTGCTTAGGTTGCAGCTTGCTAACAGCCGGCCAGTTTGAATTTA